AAAAAAAAAAAAAAAAAAAAAAAAAAAAGGAGACCCATCCAGACGGTCTGCTCAACTCAGATTTCCTTGGATCCTCTTGGGAAAAAGTCAGACTTCTGGGGAAGGCCCTGCAGACTGCCCTCAGTCTTGAGCTTGGCACTGGTTATGCCTTTAGCTGTATCCCACCCGACCCACAGAACCCCTGCTACTCCCTTTCTTCATCTGCTTTTAGTTCCCTCTTTGGGGTTATGACAGAGAGATTTCCATCTCTAAAGAACCAGGAAGTGTTCTACAGGGGCAGAAAACCACGATGGTGGTGGGCGGGGTGAGCAGAATTCTAAGAATGATGCCCAGTGACCCTCGCCCTGTGGAGTTTCCCACTGTGTATGTGACAAAAGGGAGATTACCTGGGTGGACCTAACACATGATCCCGTAGAAGCCGAGAGTTTTCTCTGAAGCATAAGGACCCGTACCGTCGGTGGGTGTGAAGGTGGAGGGGACGCGTGGAGAGCAGCTGACAGCCAGCGAGGAGACCAGGACTTTCCAGCGTGGAGGGCTTGCAGCGCCGAGGTCCTGCCAACACCCAGGGAATGCCATGGGGGCGCCCAGCAGTTCTGAAGTGGACCGGCTGGTGCTGCAGGGTCCTTTGTCCTTTCTGTCCCTGTCCTGGTGCCCTCGGACCTCAGCTAGGCTAAGGATGCTCGGCTTGCTTGGCCTTCTGCCGCCCTTAGCTGAGGGGCCTGGACCTGTAACAATGATGAATGCGTGGAATTCAGCCCCGAATCTCGGCAAGGTCCTGGGACCTCCCAGGAAGCAGGACAAAGGTACAGCCACCCCGCCCTCTGCAGGTGGCCCCTTGGCTGCGTTCCCAGGGCCCTGCCATGCCCTGGACTGCAGCCGACACTGGCAGTTCTATCAAGGTAATATGGCAAATTTAAGAGGGTGAGGTCTGGCAACACCGTGAGTCAACTGGGAAGTGGATTCTGTCCCAGAGCCTCCAGGGCAGAGCCCGGCCTGGCTGACACCTTGACGTCTGAAGCAAAGAACCCAGCGGAGCTTGCCGGCACTTCTGACCCACTAAACGCGAGCTAACGATAAATGGGTATCGTTTAAGCTGCTGCAGCAACAGAATGCTGGTAGAGTGGAGTTACTGGGATCTGGACGTAACAGAGAGAACCGCA